TTTTTTTCGAAAAACCATTAATAACCGCGGTATTCTCAAACCGCGGTTTCGGCCGGTGTGAGAAAACCTAATAAAAGGTCTGACTTTCGCGGTTCAATTAAACCGCTGACACCAACGCCCTCTCGCACCGTGATCTACCGCGGTTTTGATCGAAAAATTTTTTCGTGGGTGAGAGGTCGTTGTTAAATTTTATAGTACAACAGACACTAATTTATGTTCGCGTGACAATTTTCATAACTGGTTTCGTCGGAGAACTATTCAATACGATTATATTTCTTAGTTTTCGAACATTTCGTCAAAATTCGTGTGTTTTCTATCAAATCCTCATGTCAATTTTGAATCTGGGCCAATTGTGTACTCTTGTCTTTTCCCGTGTAATGATTAGTATATACGGAACTAAGGGAATTGATCGATCAATATTTTATTGTAAATTTCGATATTTCTTTTCTCAAATATGTACAACTGTTCCTTTGACTTGTTATTGTTTCTCAACCATTGATCAATATTGTGCAACTTGTCCATTTCCGTATTTTCGAAAGTTGTGCCATATTAAATTAGCTCAAAGTGTTACGATTATCGCTTATTTTTCTTTGGATCTTATATGAAATTTCATAGTTTCTCTTTTAACTACAAATAAAACAACATGTTTTGTTACAAATCTCATCCTATTTGCAATATCGCGCTTATGCTATGCAATTGTTGTTTTTAGCCATTTAATCATTATTCGGTACTGTTCTATTTGGAACCATATCTTATTGGAATGTTCGAAAATTACATCATTATACAATTCCGCTAGTTCAATGAGAATTGGAGAAAACGATTGTCAGCGATGGTTTTAGTACAAGTCGCTATAGAATTTGTTTATTCGTTTACCAGATGCGATTACGAGTGTTTTCTATGACAACACCGATCTCAATCAAATCTCACTTGTTCAAAAATATATGGAAATCCGATGCCGACTGCTAGAGATCAATTGCGTGGCACTAATAACTTAGAATAAGAAAAAGACTTGATGGTACACATAGTGGAGCTCAACTTCTTCTTTTTTTGACAATGATCTGCATATTCAACATCTGAATCTTTTCTTTTCGTATCGAACACGATTGATTGAAAGAAAAAAGAATTTATTGTGTTTTCTTTTCTGTTAAATATCTTCGATTTGGATAAGCTGCGGAAATGTATCGATAAGCTTCGGGTGGAAAGGAAAGAGGTTGTACTGATAATCTTGAATCCGATCGATGGGTTTGTAAATACGTTTGATCATTACAACCTGACCAAATGATTCCATTTCCTCGAGGTTTGTGTGTACTTGGAAAAAGAACACGTCGGACAAATTCACCAAATGTATAAACATTCAAAAATCGTTTCCAATTTTCGATTACACCAAAATCGTAAGGATTAACAAATGTATGATTCTGTTCGAGACATTGTCGAGCATAATCTTTATGAAGTAAACGTTCGACTGATGTGATTCCGCGACTGATTGTTCGGATGTGTCGATAGATAAGAATTACCAAGAGAAAACTTGTTGTAAATGCAGCAATAAACACGAAATATGTTATGTAATCAGCCATAGACATTTCACTGATGATCGCCA